CAAATGACATAAAGGGTCACTTAGGTGGCTCAGCCAGTTAAGTGTCTGCCTTCGGCTAAGGTCATGATCTTAGGATCCTGGGACTGGGCCCCTCATTGAGCACCACATCAGGCTCCCTGCTCAGTAGGGAGCCTGCTTCTCCCTCTCTCTCTGCCTGCATCTCCCCCTGCTTGGCATTTCTCTGTCAAATAAATAAATGAAATCTTAAAAAAAAAAAAAAAAAGTAAGAAAATGACATAAAAGCAAGCCTCAAAATTTTAATGCTGTTAATTTGGTTATAGTAGTTTAAGGCCAAAAAGGAATTTAGGGGTGGAACAGATTAGCACACACAGCCATGGTAAAGGACCAATGATACTATTTGCCCACCTGTTTTTCTCACTTTTTCTTCAGTTTACATAAACTATTGTGCAAATGCAGTTTCAAGTCTCTCCTCTTCCAAGTAGTTGTCTGCCTCTAAGTTTCTCTTGTCTTACATCCTTTAAATTCTAGCATTACCCCCAAGAACTGCTCTAATAATACATTTCAGTAGGTTAAAATGCTTTAGTTGTTTGAGGAACTGATTTATTCTGTAGAGATATAAAATATTTCCAAAGTCTCTTCTATGGATCCCTCAAGATAGCTGAAAGCTGTTGGCATCCTTTTTCTTTTTAAGATTTTCTTTTTATTTTTAAGTAATCTCCAAACCCAACATGGGGTCAAAACTACACCCTGAGCGCAACAGTCACATGCTCCACTGACTGACTGAGCCATCCAGGCACCCCATGCATACCTTTTCATTTCTATGTTTCTGTCCCTTTATTTGCTAGGATAATCTTTGTATTTGGCTTAATGGCTTTACTTAAAAAGGTCAGAAAAGCACCTGCAGTTCTGTCCCAGTTTTAGTGCAATTCTTCCCTGAGACTAAGACAATAGTGGGCCTTACCCTTGGTCCCCTCCCTGCAGAGAGTCTTATTTGGCTTTCCCCTAGCTACAGTCTCCCAAGAACTAAAAAGTCCATGGTTCAAGGAAACATACTCATCCATGCTCCCACTCTTCCAGCTCCTGACTCAAGCACACACAGACTTAGCTTTGAAACACAAATTCCAAGTACAAATGCCCCAAGCTCACTTCCAGGACCTGTGCAGGCTTCTTCCCTGAGTCTGTCCTCTGAAAGGCTGACCTCGCAGCGGATGTGCACACCCCTTGCTGCAGTGTGTCCAAGGAATGGCTGGCTATTCACTGGGATGTTTACCTTGTGAATCAGTGAGGCAGGCTGAGAAATCCCTTCTGAAGAGTTTGGGCTCGGAGGCCATGTAACTTAGAAATGAGTTTTCAAAGAACTTGGGTGCGACCTGTAGATTATCCTGTACTTAAACATCCCCCATGTTCCCATCCAATCTCAAATTCCTTACTGGCAAGTAATCTTACCACCATAAGTGATATACTTGGTAACAACGACTTGTTCCAGGAGGGAACCTCAGTTCTCCTGAGATGAAACTTCTTATCACTTTCAATATTAAAGCTGCTTCATTTAGAAGGTGAGTGACTTTTCAGTCAGAGAAAGATTTATAATACAAGGATGATAAATCATATTAGAATTAATATGTTAGACTGAGGAATAGCCTATTTATGTAGTTCAGATGTAATACTTAAAAAACTTGGGCATTTTAGACTAACAGATTAATGTTGTGATTCTATTTATTTAAAATGTGGAGGCACCTGGGTGGCTCAGTGGGTTAAGCCTCTGCCTTTGGCTCAGGTCATGATCTCAGGGTCCCAGGATTAAGCCCCACATCACATCGGGCTCTCTGCTCAGAGGGGAGCCTGCTTCCCCCACTCTCTCTCTGCCTGCCTCTCTGCCTACTTGTGATCTCTGTCTGTCAAGTAAATAAATAAGATCTTTAAAACAATTTTTTAATGTGTAATTGACTTACAATTTCAAATAAAAAAAAAAGAATGTGACCAAGTTTGTAAATGGTATTCTAATATTTAAGAGAAATGGGTTTACCAAATACATACATACATTAAATTTAGATTTATAAAAGCCTTTGAGATGCTTTGGAATATTTTTCTTACTAGGAGCATGTGCTTTCTTGGTCAGACATTTGAAGTGCTTAAAAGTAAATTTAACATATGAAACCCATTAATGCAGTTAAGGGATGTTGATGGATACAAAATCAATACAAAAAATAACAGTGTTTCTATATTTCAGTAAGAAGAAAATAAAATGGTGTCCACACAAATGGATACTTGATATATGACAGAGGTATATTGCAGGGAGGTGGGAGAAAAAACAATATTTCTAATAATAGTATCATATGGTTTCACTCATATATGGAATATAAGGAGTAGCACAGAGGATCATAGGGACTGGGAGGGAAAACTGAATGGGAAGAAGTCAGAGAGGGAGACAAACCATGAGAGCCTTTTGACTCTGGGAAACAAACAGAGGGTTGTGGAAAGGGAGATGGGTGAGGTGATGGGGTAACTGGGTGATGGGCATTAAGGAGGGCACATGATGCGATGAGCACTGGGTTTTATACACAACTAATGAATCATTGAAAACTACATCTGAAACTAACTAGTACAGCTGTACTATAAGCTAGTTAATTGAATTTAAATTAAAAAAATAAGGTGCATGCCAAAGAGTTCCATTTTGATAGAAACATTCTGTTATTTTTACAAAGTAGAATTGGCTACAGCAGTTGAATTAAACTTAGCCATCATGTATTAAAAAAAAAGTCAAGATTAGTGCATTTAATTACATAAAAATGAAACACTTTTGTTCTAAAAATACCATTAAAAGAATAAAAATACAAGCCATAGACTGGGAGAAGACATTTACAGTCTATGTAACCAAATACCATCACCACCAACAACAAAAACTTGTTTCCAAATACATAAAGAACTCTTTAAATTTGATTTTTTAAGACAGGCAGAAAATGCAGTAGAAAAGCAGATAAACACCCTTATTGTGCATTTCACATTAGAGATCATTCAAATGGCTAGTAGACATTGAAAAGTTTAATAAACCGAGAAAGGTTAATTAAGCCAATAAGCTGTCACTGCACACCTACCATATTGGCAAACTTCTGTTTTATAATCCTAGTGCTGGTGGGGAATTCTAAATTTTGGTAGGAATGTAGTACAATCACTTTGGAAACCAGATTAGGATTATCAAAGATTATCAAGATCTTCATACCCTATGTCCAAGCAGTTCCCCTCCTAGATATATTCCTGAGAGAAGTGGTTCTCAACGTAGAGTCCTTGGATCAGCAGTAGTAGCATCATTTAGGAACATTTAGAAATGCAATACCCGGGGGAGCCTGGGTGGCTCAGTGGGTTAAGGCCTCTGCCTTTGGCTTGGGTCATGATCCCAGGATCCTGGGATCGAGCCCCGCATAGAGCCCCGCATCGGGCTCTCTGCTCAGCAGGGAGCCTGCTTCCTCCTTTCTCTCTGCCTGCCTCTGTAGTCTGCCTGTCAAATAAATAAATAAAATATTTGAAAAGAAAAGAAAAGAAATGCAATTCCCCAAGTCTACTGAACCTACTGATCTGCTGGGGATGGGGTCCAGCCATCAATGTTTTAACAAGACTTCTAGGTGAGTCTGATGCATTTTGTGCATGTATATATAGCAATACATTAACAAGAGAGTTCATAGCATTATGCTAATAGATCCCTAAAAGGAAAACAGCCTAAATGTCCATTGTTAGTAGAAAGGTAAATTCATTTTTAATTTGGGAACAAAGGAAGTATCATTACATACTGAGAGTTGGAAACAAATGGGAGAGCGAAGGCAGGTTTAAAGGAGAAAATAATTGGTGGAATAAGTTGAAAATCAGATTAAATCTAACTGGGGAGGTTATTTGAGGTGAAAAAGAGAAGTCTTTCTGAGAGACTAGAGAAGGAATGCAGAAATTTTACTGAGGGTGTGAGAACAGGAGGAATTGAAGTTTTTTTCATCCATGAGAGCATTTTTTTTTTAATTTGTTAGGAATCAGGGTCCTATGCAGAGGAGAGGGGACGGGCTGGGCAGCATGAGGAGAGTTATGAAGGTTTGAAATATCATAGGAGTGGACTGGGTTAAGATGTGGAGCAGCTCAGTTCTTTTTTTTAAAGATTCTATTTATTTGACAGAGACACAGAGAGAGAGGGAACACAAGCAGAGGGAGTAGGAGAGGGAGAACCAGTCTCCCCACCGAGCAGGGAGCCCTATGTGGGGCTCGATCATGACCTGAGCCAAAGGCAGACGCTTAACGACTGAGCCACCCAGGTGCCCCTGGAGCAGCCCAGTTCTAACTGCACACTTGGAACCTGTTACAGTGGCTATAGGAATGATAAAATTACACAGAATTGTCTTATCATTTCTGTTATCTCTCTAGCACTTACACACATTCTTCATCCAATCTTTGTGAACTAGTTATTTCAAGTAATTGCTTCTGTTGAAGAAGAAAGCTTCATCTTAAATACTCTTTTTTTTTTTTTTGAGAGGGACAGGGTGGGAGGGGCAGAAGGAGAGAGAGAGCCCCCAATGCAGGGATCGATCTCACAATACTGAGATCATGACCTGAGCCGAGTCAAGAGTTGGATGCTTAACTGACTGAGCCACCCAGATGCCCCTCAAATACTCTGAATACAGTGTTACATTCTGTAGCAGCTGCTCAATAAAAAAAAAAAAATCAGTGATGGAGGGTTAGCAAATGGTGGTGGATAGCATAACAGAGTGAGTGTGACTAAGGAAAGAAGAAGCTCTTTGGAGATGAACAAGTACACACACACACACACACACACACACACACACACACACACAAAATAATAGTGACTCTGCAACTTCATAGCTGTTCTGATCCTGGGAAATGTGCAGTTCTTAGGATAGGTCCCCTAGAAACACAGCCTGACGTGGGGATTCTTGGGTAAGAAATTTATTGAGGGAGAAGTCTCAGGAGAAGGGAAGGAAAAGGCAAGTTAAGGCAGGAGGAGTAAGTTCAGGTTCAGCTGATCCCATAGGAGGTGATGGAACTCAGATTGCCCACAGAGCTCATCTCACCTTGAAGCAAGAGTGTCCACAGTCGGTATCTCCAAGTCAGTCAGTTATTGGAATGGGCTATCCACCCTAGTAGAGAAAACTTCCCAGGCAAGGGGCCTTTTGCTTGGCCAAGGTCAACTCTGTAGAAAAGGAGGCAATTGTGGGCATTTAGAACTCAAAATTCCCAGCAGCCTAAGGATTAATGCATTGACCTGGTTAAGGATATCTAGATAAAAACAGCATTAACTACAATTCACCCTTGTACCCACATAGCTCTAATTCCATCTTACCAGATTTTTGGTTGATCACAGTTTCTGGGAAAACTAACAGGAGAAAGATTAGTAAATCAAATGTAGCTTCTCACTATGGCAGCTGGTCCCAAGTTTGTAACTGATGTTTATCATTTCCCTTTAGCACCACACTCCAGATTCCCCTCCTCTCCAGTTATCACCTAGTTGGTCTTCTGGGTATAAGCTAACCAAGGGACACTCTAGTAGATGATGTGAGTATCAAATATATCAGTGTCACATGATGATAAGGATCAAGCAACCCTAACAATATGGTAACTCCTTTCTTTGATGGCTCATTTACAACAGCCATGGTTTTAAGTTTAGTGGGTTTCTTACTATGTTCTTTGGTGGAAGCATCCCTTTCTGGGGACGAGGACCTTTAGACCTACAGAGGCTAAAACTGTGAGAATAAGAAACATAATTTCCCCAAGGAGTCACAGGAAGTAATGGTGGGACCATTCTGACTTTTATTTGTTGGTTCCTGTTGGACCCATGTCCCGTGTATTCTACTGAATGGGGACACAGACATATAGTGGCTGATGGCTTAAGATATACTCTGCATCCTGAAGGATAGTGCCCTGTCCTTTGCAATATATCACCCAGCTTGTGCCTTGGCTGTAACTTCGAGATGCTATTGCACTGTTCTTCCAGGCTGGCAGTTTCTGGGTGGTGAATATATATGATCTATAATTGTATGCCTAGGGTCATACTTACTTTACTACAAAGAAGGTCCCTTGGTCCAAAGATGATGTTAGGTGTGACTCCATGCCAGGATATCATATGCTTCATGAACCTACACATAGTGGTGATAGCTGAGGCACAACAGGCAGGAAAGGCAAGTCCGTATCTGGAATAAGTGTCAATCCCATTCGAAATAAAAAGGTGAGGGGGGACTTGTTATGTGTCATCCATTTAGAGAACCAAAAGGAAGTTCCGTGGAAATTCCAGATGGCTTGGATCCCTTTGGACCATAATGGCAAAGAATTAATAGAGAATTAATATAGCATGGGGGCAAGACCATGAATGTATACTATTATCCATCCTGTATAATGGCAAACTGTTTCTGATTCTCATTCTGATAGATATAAGATAAACAGATGTAGACATAACTGCAAACCATACACCAGGGGCTGTGGTCATCTGTTAAAGTAAATACACTACATCTAATATAGCAGATGCAAATGAAGCTACTACTTGGATAAATTTGTAGTAGCTCAATGTCATGTTCTCTGATTCACCTGTTAAGCTAGAATGATGGATTGACACCCATCACTCCTACATCCTCTGTCATTCCTTTCCTGAGATGTAAATTGTTTTTGATTTACAGTCTTGGCTGAGTGTTGAGGGTGTCTTTTCAGGGACTTCTACTTGCCCTTCTTACTACAACAACCCTTATTATACAAATAAAGGAACTAATATAAAGGCTCTGTAAAGATTCCCAACTCTATAATTTATAGTTACTCTTTCCCCACAATTCTCAAACTACAGATAGTGCACCCGCTGGTGTAGCTCTCTCCCCTTATAGCCCATCAAATTCACTACAAGTGGAAGTCTTAGCAATCTCATCTCTATAGCATGCCAGGACTGCTGTCCTCTACCTACTACTAGTGACTGCCAGCTGATCAGTGAGTGAATCAACTCCAAAACCACATTTAAGAATCTATGTCTTAGGATTATTTTCAGGACGAATTATCTTAGGTTGAAATTCCAAGTAGCAGAACTTGAGGAAAAATAAAAAAGTATATTTATTGTTGTTCATAGTAGTTTCCTTTTATAAAAATAAAGATTCAATTAATTTATTTATTTGAGAGAGAGAGAGAGAGCGGGTGTGCATGTGCACACACATGAGCAGGGGTAGGGGCAGAGAGGGAGGGAGAGGGACAAGCAGACTCTGCACTAAGTGGGAACCTGATCTCACCTCCCTGAGATCATGACCTGAGCTGAAACCAAGAGTAAGATGCTTAACCTATTGAGCCACTGAGATGCCCCAGCAGTTTTCTTTTTATTTTTAAATTTATAATAATAATAATTATTATTAATTTTTAAAATTCTAGTAAGGTTAACATACAGTATGATTTCACATATACAATATAGTGACTCAATGATTTATTACTAAGTGCTCATCACAAAAAGTGTACTCTTAATCCCATTCACCGATTTCACTCGTCTCCCCGCCCCAACCCCTCCTCTGGTAACCACCCACTTGTTCTCTATATTTAAGAGTGTGGTTTTTTTGTTTGTTTCCTTTTTTCCTTGTTTGTTTTATTTCTTAAATTCCACATATGAGGGAAATCATATGGTATTTGTCTCTCACTGATTGAAGTATTCTACTTAACATTACACTCTTTAGATCTATCCATGTTGTTGCAAATGACAAGATTTCATTCTTTTTATGGCTGAGTAATATTCCATTGTGTATGTATGCCACTGTTTATTCGTTCATCTATTGATAGACACTTGGGGTACTTTCATGGCTTGGTTTTATAAATAATGCAATAAACATAGGGGTGCATATATCTTTTCAAATTACTTTTTTCATATTCCTTGGGTAATTACCCAGTAGTAGAATTACTGGATCACATGATACTTCTATTTTTAACTTCCATACTATTTTCCAAAGTGGCTGCATCAATTTGCATTTCCACCAACTATGCACAATCGTTTTTTTTTCTCCACATCCTTGCCAATGCTTGTTTTTGAGTTTAAACATTCTGACAGGTGTGAAGTGTTATGTATACATTGTGATTTTAATTTGCATTTTCCTGATGATTAGTGATGTTGAGCATCTGTTCATGTTTCTGTTGGCCATCTTTATATCTTCTACACATTTTAATTGGATTATTTGTTTTGGGGGTGTTAAGTTGTATGAGTTTTTTGTATATTATGAATATTAACTAGAATATTCTAGATATTAACTAACCCTTATTGGATATGCCTTTTACAAATATCTTCTTCCATTTAATAGGTTATTTTTTGTTTTGTTGATTATTTCCTTTACTTTTCAGAAGCTTTTAATTTTTATGTAGCCCAAGTTGTTATTTTTGCTTTTGTTTCCATTGCCTTAGGTGACATATCTAGAAAAATGTTACTACTGATGTCAGAGAAATTACTGCATAAACTCTCTCCTAGGATTTTTATGGTTTCAGGCGTCACATGTAGGTCTTTAATCTATTTTAAGTTTATTTTTGTGCATGGTGTAACCAAGTGGTCCAGTTTCATTCTTTTGCATGTGGCTATTCAGTTTTCCCAACACCACTTGTTGAAGAGACTGTCTTTTTCCGATTGGATATTCTTTCCTGCTTTGTCAAAGATTAATTGACCCAGATAATTGTGGGTTTATTTCTGGATTTTCTATCCTGTTCTATTGATCTATGTGACTATTTTGGTGCCAGTTCCATACTCTTTTGATTACTACAGTTTTGTAGTATATCTGTAGGATATCTATAGTATATCTATCGAAATCTAGGATTGTGATACCTCCAGCTTTGTTTTTCTTTTTCAAGATTGTTTTGGCTTATCACGGTCTTTTGTTGTTCCATACAAATTTTATGGTTATTTGATCTACTTCCATGAAAAACGCTGGTGGTATTCTGATAGGGATTATGTTAAATGTGTAGATTGCTTTGGGTACAACGGACTTTTTAACAATATTCATTCTCTCAATCCATGAGCATGGAATATCTTTCTATTTGTTTGTGTTATCTTCAAATTCTTTCATCAATGGTTTATAGTTTTCAGAGTGTAGATCTTTTACCCCTTTGGTTAAATTTATTTCTAGGTAGTCTATTATTTTTATTGCATTTGTAAATGGGGTTTCTTAATTTTTCTTTCTATTACATCATTATTAGTGTATAGATATCCAGAAAACTGCTGTATATTGATTTTGTATCCTGAATTTAGTATACTGAATTCATTTATCAGTTCTAGTAGTTTCTTGGTGAAGTCTTCATAATTTTCTATATATAGTATCATGTCATCTGCAAAAAGTGAGAGTTACTTCTTGCTTACCAATCTGGATGCTTTTCTTTTTCTTGTCTGATTGCTGTGGCTAGGACTTCCCGTACTATGTTGAATAAAAGTGAGAATGGACATCCTTGCTTATTCCTGATCTTAGGGGGAAAGCTCACAATTTTTCCTTATTGAATATGATGTCTGCTGTGGGTTGTTTGGAAAAAGCCTTTATTATATTGAACTATGTTCCCTCTAAGCCTATATTGTTCAGAGTTTTTTTTATCAATAATGCATGTTGTACTTGTCAAATCTTTTTCTGCATTTATTGAATGATCATATAGTTTTATCTTTTCTCTTGTCAATGTATTCTATTGATTGACTTGTGAATATTAACCACCTTGCATCCCAAGAATAATCCCACTTGATCGTGGTGAATGACTTTCTTTAGTGTATTGTTGAATTTTGTTTGCAAAGGTTTTGTTGAGGATATTTGCATCTATGTTCATCAGAGATCATGGCCTGTAGTTCTCTCTCTCTCTCTCTTTTATAGTTTTTTATCTGGTTTTGATACCAGGGTAATGCTGGCCTTATACAATGAATTCAGAAGCTTTCCTTCCTCTTCTACTTTTTTCATAGCTTGAAAAGAATAGGTATTAGTTCTTCTTTAAGTGTTTGGTGGAATTAATCTGCGAAGTCATCTGGTCTTGGACTTTTGTTCATCGGGTGGTATTTGATTAATGATTCAATTTCATTGTTGGTAATTTGCCTCCTCAAATTTTCTATTTCTTTCTGATTCCACTTTGGGAGGTTATATGTTTCTAGGAATTTATCCATTTCTTCCAGTTTATCCAATTTGTTGGTATATAATTTTTCATAATATTCTCTTATAATCCTTTGTATTTCTCTGGTATGGATTGTTATGTCTCCTCTTTCATTTCTGATTTTGATTATTTGAGTCGTCTCTCTACAAAAAGTATTTTACTAAAAACTCTAGCATGTTGGAAATGAGGAGCATAGCTCGAAAACCCATCTAAGTAATTCTTGCACGTAAATGAGAGTGGGGAGTGGAAAAATTCCTTCCCACTTCACAGTAGAATATCAACAGCTTTGTCATCTCAAGGGCTGTCCCTTGTGGTAGAGATAATTACGCCAGGAAGACCTGTCAGTAGATAGCACTGTGATTCTGCAGACATTCATGAGTATATGTGTGAACCCTCTGGGAACTCTCAAGCATTCTCTAGAATCACCTACTCACTGTCAGGCTGATAGAGCCTAGGGAAGCTTGGATACAGCTCTAGCGTACTTAGAACACTCAACCAAGTACAAACACCTAACAGATTCTCAACCCATTTTTTCACTCATCCCTCTCAAATTCAGTGCCTTGACCCTGCTGCCTTTCTGTCACCAAGGAGGCAACCCTGAATACACTTTTTAATTACTGTCAGTTTGAGGAACCCTTGCTTCTGGACATACCCTCTCATATTCTTGCACTTAGTGACAGTATCTGTGAAAATCTGTTACTTTTTATTAAATTCCAGAACGACAACAATTTTTTCAAAGTGGGTGGAAGAATCAATAACCTAGAAAATCTAGTATTCAAAACTAGCTTTTGCAGAAAGATACTGTTTTGTTGTTCTTGTTGTTATGCTTTGTTTTGTACCTGAATGATTCCATCCATGAGTCACTGCCTGAATGATTTGTCTTTTCTTTTGTTTTCCTTGCTCTAGAAAGTTAACTAACTTTCCTTGTATTAAAAAACAACTAAGGGGCACCTGGGTGACTCAGTGGGTTAAGCCTCTGCCTTCGGCTCAGGTCATGGTCTCAGGGTCCTGGGATCGAGCCCCACATTGGGCTCTCTGCTCGGCGGGGAGCCTGCTTCCCTCTCTCTCTGCCTGCTTCTCTGCCTACTTGTGATTTCTCTCTCTGTCCAATAAATAAATAAAATCTTTAAAAAAATAAAAATTTAAACAATTTAAAAAACAACTCAAAATTGGATAAAGAGTTAGAATTAAAAATATTAACCTTATAGTTTATTTTTATTCCATTCATGTACTTTCCTAAACCTTCTTCTAGCTCAGGATTTAGCTGGAGTGATATGTCATCCTGAGCTTTGATTGGTGCCCCAACTCTTCCCATATAAGTAGGGTTAATACAAAATGCATGAAATAGTTTTAATGAGATCAGAAACAAGAACTATGGACACAAAAAGAGGACAGAGAGGGTATAGAAGAGGGATAGACAGAGGGACAAATAACATAAAATTACAAAAAGGTTAAAATGAAATCCTATTTTTCAGAAAAAGGTGTCCTTATGAGGCCAATATGGGGTCGATTTTCAAATAATTTATTAATTTTTATTGAGAGTTTATTATTTCAAATTCTTTATCCATATCTTCCTGTCTGAATCTAATACATAGAGAGCTAATTGAGAAATTGAGAGAAATTGGCCAACATGGACAAAAGATTAATATTAAATAGATCTTGTGGTCATATTTAACATAGACAATTCAGTGTTGAAATTATTTTAACTTCTACCTGCTGTCCAAGACAATTAGAACCAATCAAACTATAATTTTCTTTTTTTGTTATTTTTGAATAGGCCTGAGAGTTAAAATAGAAAGTAAAGTAACACAAGTGACAAACTAAATGACCTAGCAAGTGTTTGACTGAGATAAGTTATAACACTTCTGCTAAAAATTGAAAAACTGTCACTTCCTTGTTAGAGCTGAAAATAGCTCTTACAAGTTGTTCTTTCTGATGTAAATCCATATTAAGCTTTATATATTAACACAAATCACTCAAAACAATTCCACATAAGTACATACAGACTTAGAATTATGTAATAAGTAATGCTATATTATTGATAAAACATTTAAACCAGTTTAAATGAATGTCTTACTCAAAGAGAGCTGACTTGAGATTTTTCTCTTTCCTTCTATAATTTTAGTGGTTACATACCAATTCCACTTAATAAAAATGTGTTGTGCAGCTATTAGGTAAACATTCAGAGACTAGGTGTTCCCAGGACTGCAAAGGTTAGAAATACATAGTGAATACTGTGTAATTTACAATATAATCATGATTACAAATATGAACTTATTATAATGGAAGGCAGCATAAAACAGTGGCCATTTTGAGAATGAGTAAGTCATTTTTAATAGAAGTGATGAAAAATGAGTTTATGAAAGTAATATCATTTGGAATAGAATTGGAATCTTGTACAGTGTTTCAAAAGTTGGTGATGGGGTTTTAGGGAGCTGATTCTGGTGGAAGGTCTGTCATGATCAAAGTTATGGAGAACTGGGGTGCCTGGGTGGCTCAGTGGGTTAAGCCTCTGCCTTCAGCTCAGGTCATGATCTCAGAGTCCTGGATTGAGCCCCACATGGCATGGAGCTCTTGCTCAGCAGGGAGCCTGCTTTCCCCTCTCTCTCTGCTTGCCTCTCTGCCTACTTGTGATCTCTTTCTGTTAAATAAATAAATGAAATCTTAAAAAAAAAAAAAAGAACAACAACAACAAAACAAACAACAACAATAACAAAAAAACCAAAGTTACGGAGAAATGAAAGTTCATGGTGCCCCATTCAGGGAATGGGCAGTTGAGAGGATAAAGAAGGGTAGGAAAGAAGAGGGAGATCAAATGAGATGGTATTATGGAGTATATTAATATCATGTTAAGCAAAAGAGTTTGGGCTTAATCTACAAATAGTAGGGACCCGCTGAAGATTATGGGACAAGAGAGTAATGTAATTAAACCTGTGCTTTGAATTCATGACTCATGACAGTGACCTAGGAGACTTGAAAGTGCAGGCAGTAGACAAGTGAGGGGGATTCCAACACAGGTGGAAGAGGAGGTCACAATTGGGAGAGCCTTGAAATGTTAGGTACCTGTGACAAGGACAGTTTTTTGTCTTCCAATATCCATTTTCCCCATCTTCCTTTGAATAAAAATTAATCCTTGCCTTCCTTGCAGTTGGATGGGGCCATGTGTCTAAGGTCTGGCCAATGGATGAAGAGGAAACCATGCAACTTCTGTGGACTTCTATCAGAGGAAGAGGTTTCCTCTTTATCTTTTCTCCTTTCTGATGAATATAGTGCTATAGACTGAATGTTTGTGTCCTCCCAAATCCCTATGTTAAATCCTCATTTTGTTTGTTTGTTTGTTTGAGAGCCAGCGCACAAGCACAGGAGGAGGAGGGGGCAGAGGGAGAAGGAGTGAGAGAATTCCGAGCAGTCTTCCTCTTGAGCACCTTTGTCAGATCTGTGGATTGCAAATCCTGCATTCTCTTTACAAGGTCTTTCACAACGCAAAAGTTTTTTTAATTTTGGTATATCTATTTATCTGTATACACACACACACACCCCCACACATGGGGAGGTGTCCTTACATAGCTGGATAAGCAGACTCTGTAAGGCTGACACCTGAACTTGAAGACCAGAGCGCAGGTGGACAGGAAAGCAACACAGATGTAAAGTGGGGAAGAGCAAGAAAAAGCTGGAGCTTACAAGGACAGAATGAAACCCTTGTCAGTTCTCATTGCCCCAGGCCTTGATGGTGTGAGTGTCCTGCAGAGCCTGAGGCTCCTCAGGATGGAGCTAATCACACACACACCTGGCCTAGGAGTCAGACAAGTTAAAGGAGGATCCTGGGGGAGGTGGAACAGTCAGAATCCTGGCTACTACCTCACACCAATGTGGTCATCCAGCAGATAAACAACTACAGGCGTGAGCTATAAAAATTTCTCCCAAATCTCATGTAAGACTCTGTCCTGTGGCCCTTCCCATGCAGAAACAGACAGGCAGGGGAATTCTGGAAAGTATAACTTAGCCTCACTACCTCACGTGATGTTTTGGTTTACTTTAGAACAATGTAATAAAGTGAAGATAACGATAGGGATACCTGAAAAACATCTGGGAAAGGGAGTGCACTTGTTTGGTTGTTTGAGATCTAGTTTATTGTGGGATCCATCCCCCAGAAGTTTCATAAACTTTGCTTACTGGAGAATATACCTGGCTTGGCCCCAAGAGAAAACAAGTTCTTTTTAGGTGAGATTTTGATGAGAATCTGTTAAATTTACCTAAATGAAGGAAAACTGAGGTCTCTAGAGCAGCATTGGCAGGAAGACTTCCCTTCTCCATAGCTCCAGTAGGCTGAACTCCACTGGAGCTGTGCTGATCAGGAGCAGTTCCAGCCAGAACCTCACCATCACCTAGAGAAGAACAGAAGAAGGGTTTCCTGGGTGGCTCAGTCTGTTAAGCCTCCGACTCTCGATCTCAGGGTTGTGAGATGGAGCCCGCTGTCTGGCTATATGCTCAGCTTGGAATCTGCTTGAGATTCCATCTCTCTCTGCCCTTCCTCCTGCTCACATGCACTCCCCTCTCTGTCTCTCTTTAAAACAAATAAATAAAAATTTAAAAACACCCCCCCAAAAGAAATACCCTAACCCAGGTATTTGGGTCTCCTGGGAGACCCATCCTAAAGCCTCCTGGGACTCAGGGCAGCAGATACAATGGCACAAAATGGGTCTGGGATACACACAGAGAACAGCGAGCTCAGTGAATGATATCTAATTCAGCCAAACTTCCTAGCATTTACCAAAGAGCCTGAAATAGTTATGATGATAAATAATCTGTTGTAGACTTTGCATTTTTTTTTTTTTTGGTGAAACTTGTTCTTTTCCACTGGTGTTAAAACATATTCATCATCATCCTGACAAATGCCATTAATTTTCATTTTTCCTCAAGTGGAACATTGCCCTATAAGTTATTTCCATAGCAACGAGTGACTCAACTCTCAATAAAAATGATTTACGGAAATCTGCCATGTTCTCACTCTGCTACTCATACATTTTCCACATGCAATCAAACTTCTTTAAGTGTTCTGAGTCACAATAACTCACGGTCAGGCACTGCAATGCAATTCAACTATTTGAAAGGTGAATGCAAATAATGGGCGGATATGTCATTCAAGTAATAACATAAGAAAGCGAGCAGCTCAACAAAGTCAAAGCCCTTGATGAACTTAGTTCAAGAAGTTGGTGGATGTGCACTCATAAAGTTAATGCCAGAACAAAATATTCCTCTTGTGCACTCTCACTGTAAGTATAAGTTTAAAAAGTCAAGTGTAAATCTCTGGCTATTTCTTTGGAATACATTCAGGGCTCACCCATTCTTCCTCCCTCCCTTTTGTCTTTCCTCCTGTCTATTCTTCAGGCACTTCCACATACACCATTTTATTTACCCCTGAATAGAGGTATTATCCCCATAATGCAGATGAAACACAGGAAGTTTAAATAACTTGCTCACTCTACCCAGCCAGGAAAGCTAACACTCCATAAATTGAAAGCTGGTCACTTGCTTCCAAACACTCTAATTTCAATAAAATACTTTCTAATATATTAAAAGACCATTTAGGGGCACCTGGGTGGCTCAGTGGGTTAAGCCTCTGCCTTCAGCTCAGGTCATGATCTTAGGGTCCCGGAATCGAGCCCCACGTCAGGCTCTCTGCTCAGCAGGGAGCCTGCTTCCCCAACTCTCTCTCTGCCTGCCTCTCTGCCTACTCATGGTCTCTCTCTGTCAAATAAATAAATAAAATCTTTAAAAAAAAATAAAATGCCATTTACGTGCTTGCTGACTCTGTAACCTATATTTTCTGTGAACTGTCATACTAAAAATCAACCTTTTGACTTCATTCTTACGAAGGCCCTGCCTTGTGAGGAAGAAGTGTAAGTACAGCCTTATGGAAAAATCTTTTTAAAATGTTAAAACCTCGGGGCGCCTGGGTGGCTCAGTGGGTTAAGCCGCTGCCTTCGGCTCAGGTCATGATTTCGGGGTCCTGGGATCAAGTCCCACATCAGGCTCTCTGCTCAGCAGGGAGCCTGTTCCTTCTCTCTTTCTCTCTCTCTCTGCCTGCCTCTCTGTCTACTTGTGATCTCTGTCAAATCAATAAATAAAATCTTTAAAAAAAATAAAAAATAAATAAAATGTTAAAACCTCTTTGCAAACTTACCAGGTCTACAGTAATTAAAAATGAATATACAAACAAACAAAACCAACTCAAGGGGTAGCAGTGACCTTTGAAAGCCATTCTTTAGGTCAAGAGACCATAAATTGACTATAGAGACAGAAGTCATCAAATGCATCTGAAACACAAATGGCCAGTTCAAAATCAGCTCAAAAAAGAAACTCTGCCAAAAGCTTGTGTTTGTCTATTTCGTCTTCCTCAACAAGCACTGGAGAATACAGAGTAGCGTGGAGGGTTTTCTCAGACATATTTTCAGGGAAGTCTACTCTTACCCACCATTTTCCTTCTATTCATAATGATAATATTAATAGTATTTATTGAGTTCTTACTTACATGCCAAGTATTCTCAGATCTTTATAGAATAAACTCACTAATCCTCATATAGACCTTGTGACATAGGTGCCCTATTTATCCTGACTTTCAGATAACAAAGCAAGCAGACAGAAGTGAGGTAACTTGGCCCAGGTCACCCAGCCACTATGGGCAGAGCCAGCCTCTGAGCCCAGATGGTCTTACTCTTAATCTCTGCATTGTATTGTCCTCCAGCCTAAGCCTTCATTGGGTCCCTTAGATGCATTCCTGGTCACCTGAAATCTCCTGCCAGAGCAGGAGCCATCTGTACCAGAAGAGTGGCCAATACTATGAATGCTCAACAAGGTTTATTGTATGGTTGATAGAATGAATGATGGCAGGAAGGAGGAATGAAAGAATGAGTATATAAATGTGTTCTGAGAAGTTGTAAAAAGAAGAGACTCTTTTAGAATGGTAGGAAGAAAAGTTTCCATCAGGAAGCGTTGACTGGTGATAGAATTTCAGTAGGCAGAGATTTTTAAAAAGATAATTTCAGGTGGAAATTTTATATAAATTTGGAGACATTGGAAAGCCTAGAGATACATTCAGAGACCAGGAAGTTGCACCAATTGGCAGTGGCTTGGGCTACATGAATGAAAGTAATGCAGGGAGAAGTCTGATCAGGTTAACTTGAGGTTAGTTTGCTGAATTTTTTTTCAACTTAATAGTTGTTGTTGTTGTTGTTGTTTTTAAGATTTTATTTATTTATTTCAGAGAGAGATGGCAAGTGAGAGTGCAAGGGAAGGGTGGGGAGAGAGAGAAGGAGAAGGAGCCTCCCTGCTAAGCAGGGAGCCTGATGTATGGCTGGATCCCAGGACCCCAGGATCATGATCTGAGCTGAAGGCAGATACTTAACCAACTGAGCCACCCAAGCACCCCTCGTCCTAATAGTTTTTATTTAAGGTCGTTTATAATATTATTTTATTCCTGCATCTTTTCAATTGTTTCTTCTTATATTTGCCCTTTTCCTTTCCTATTTGGTGAGATTTGGGTTTATGTTCAAGGATCTTTTCATGGCCATTGTTCACTTTTAGTCTAGTGCTAACCACCTCACTAGGGTGAATGGCCACATGGACAGTTGTGCCATTTGCCTTCTCTTGCTGTACTCGCTCAATGTAGATAACAGATTCTTCCTGTAAACCCGGATGACTTTGCCAATTTGCTGACCTTTGCAGTGTTCTTTCACAACCTGTCCATCATCATCCTCTTGGATGGGCATGGACCAAACATTGTACTTCTGTCTCAGTTCTTTGGAAAGAGAGGAAGACAATCTTCCTGCAAATGTGGGAAAGTACATCAAAATGCTTTTTATGGTTCTTGCTGTGGTCAGAAGTTGCAAAGGTATTCAACTTCATTTTGGTCGCTAGTGCTTCAGCAAAAGGAAAAAAGTGCTGAATGTTTTAAATAGCAGGCTGAAGGAACTACTGCTTAAGGAATTGGACACCTCTGAAGGAGTATGAAAGAAGATGTAACCATGAGAGACTGTGGACTCTGAGAAACAAACTGAGGGTTTTGAGGGGAGGGAGGTGAAGGGTAGCGTGAGCCTGGAGGTGGGTATTAAGGAGGGCACATATTGCATGGAGCACCGGGTGTGGTGCTTAGACAATGAATCTTGGAACACTGAAAAAAATTAAATTTAATTTAAAAAAAAAGAAAGAAGATGTAAGAGGATGACAATCTTCGGACTGTGCTTTCAGGAAACTAAATGAATAGTAATGTCAAGAATTCAGAGCAGGGGCTGCTGCCCTATGCTGAATCTGGATGAGTCTTAGGAATTCTTTGAATCCCTGAAAGACACAGGGGATTTTGTCTATATTTCTATAGGTACACATTTTTATTGAGACTGTCTACAACTTCTCAGTGATTTTCAAAAAGATGCCACCATTCCATATATCAATATATCTTAAGATTATAAATGAAGTTAAACTGTTAAACAAAATCTGTTCCTCATCCTATCTTGGCAAACATAACCTCATATTATATAGTATCATAATGATATTCAAATTTTACTTTGAATTTACTTTTATCAAAAATGTAAATTGACATATATGTTCAAAACCTCAAAATATTAAATAATATATTAGAAATTATCTATTAAAACTAAAAAGCAATTAAAATAAGAATGAGATACTACTACACACATATTAGAATGATTAAAATCGAAAATACCAACAACACCAAATACTGATCAGGATGTGGAGAAACAGAAGCTCTCATTTACCACTGGTGGGAATGTAAAATGGAAGACAGTTGGACAGTTTCTTACAAAACTAAACATACTGTTATCATATGATCTGGCAATCCCGCTTTTCAGTTGGTGAGTGGATAAAAAAAAACTGAGCATATCCAAACAATGGTATATTATTCAACAACAAAAAAGAAGTGAGCTATCAACCCACAAAAAGATGCAGAGGAAATTTTAAATGCACATTATCTAGTGGAAGAAGCCATTCTAAAAAAATACATACAGTACAATTCAAACTATATGACATTTTGGAAAAGGCAAGACTGTGGAGACAATAAAAGGATCAGTGGTTACCAAGGGTAGGAGAGACAGGATGAATAGGTAGAACAGAGGAATTTTTAAAAATATATTTTAAAATATTTTATTTATTTATTTATTTATTTATTTATTTGACAGAGAGAGACAGCAAAAAAGAGAACACAAGCAGGGTGAGTGGGAGAGGGAGAAGCAGGCCTCCTACTGAAGGAATTTTTAAAAAATTTTTAAGTA